TGTGTCACTTTATTTCACACATAAACCTTACCGCAAAGCCATGACCCTCGGAATTAGAGAATTCCTTAAGCACTGAGGTTCATGTAACCATCCAGCAAAACAGATGAAGCCTAGGTCTTGCAACCCCTCCCCACAATACCACTTGGTCTCACAATTCACAGGATCATGTAAGGAAAGTTCAAAAAGAGCCAGATGCTTCTCATTGTGTAAAACCATACATAACATTTATTAAAATAAATGAAAACTACTCACATGTTAAAATCGACACAGCTCTTTGTATAGCAGAATACTCTCAAGAGTGTGTGTGGATTGCTTCTTCATTCTTTCATGTGGCCTTAGGGCGTCAACTCCGCCCTACATGTTTCGTCACAAGTAACATCAGCTTAGGGCACTATTTTATGGTGAATGGACTTTGGTATTTTTGTGACACTATTGTTATTATTATTATTATTATTATTTGTAAATTTATCTTCTCTTTTATCTTTACCAAATGTATTTCAGTACATTTAAAAGTAACAATTACAAAGCAATAAGGTCATTACCATTGTAAATATAATCATACTTTTAATTACATACTGTGATCAGCAATATAATTAGGGATACAAAATATTTACAAATGAAAAAATCACAGAATGAATGTTAAATAAGAACACCCACTCTATTTTTTATACATTCTGATCCAAATATAAACTTATCTTGATTTACTGACATCTAAAATGAGATAAAGGTAGGTCTACTTCTACTTTGCTTGTACTGTGAGAAATATTTTGTGCACAGAGACCAATAGTTATGACAGTAGAACAGTTTTCTTTTTTTTATTTCTGTCAAGTTGTTGAAAAAGGGAGCTTATCAATTCCCTCTTATCTTTAAGTTACTTGCCCTTGCCAACACTTCAGATAAGACAAGTTCACACATTCCACACTCTGCTGCAAATTAGGCATGTGCAGTCCTTCTCCATACAGAGCAGAATATTCCCTTTCTCATCAAGAACTCTAACAGCACAAGTCAGCTATGCTTACCCAGAAATATTTAATCTAAGCTTAGCTTGCATATGTAAAGGCAACAATAAAAACACACACAGTTATTCTATCCATGTAGCTATATAAAGGAGTACATTAAGCTGGCGTTGTACAGTACTGCTGAAAACCGCAGCCAGTCTGATACTGTATCAAGTGAGATAACAAGGCAACACTTACATTTAAATATTGATTATAATAAAACACAAGGTCAGAGCAGCAAGTGCTGTTTTGTTTTACTGTAGTAATGAACTTGTTGTTTTGTCAACTTGTATTAAGGTAAATTTGAGTGCTGTGGATCTTCAGAACAGCCTATAAGAAGAACCACAGGGTCCTGTGGAGGACAGACTATTGCCGGCCATAGACAGGTTCGAAAATCGGCCGATTTTTAATCCAAAAGATTAAAATCGGCCGATTTTCACACTGTTAGTGGGTTAATTGGCTGGCCAGTTTTCGGGTTTTTTGCACTTTTGGAATATCAGTCATGTTGGAAAACGACCGATTTTGGAGACAATGATGGCCAAATCGTACGATCATTTTAGCAAAAAAAAATATGTGCATGAGCTGTGACCTGGAAGGAACAGAAGTTTTGGCTGTTATATGGGGTGAACTTTATGACTTGGTCGGCCGATTTTTCTTTTATCATTCAAAAAAAGTGCGGTTCTCGAGCCGTCTATGGCCTGCATAACTGACACACATGGAAATATCAGATAGCAGCAGAGTTCAAAGCACAAGAGAATGCAAATTTGACTTACCGCCCTCCGAAAAATGTAATTTTTAACTTCTTATTTTGCATTAATATTTTTTTTATTTTTTTTTAATTGTGTGTCACTTTAAACTAGACATTGATACTGCTACTAGGTACTTACGTTAAAGGGAGACTGCAATGTTTTTGAAAATCTTACTTGAAAAATATGATGGAATATCAGCTGAACTTCACTTAGCTCCTCTAATAGTATTTTTTAATATTCGATGACAGGGGCGTCCCTAGGGTTGGTGTCACCCGGTGCCGGAACACTTGGTGACACCCCCTCCGATGATCCCCACAGGATGGTTCGGATCTGCGGATTGAGCATAATGGATCGGAGTCTGATCTATTATGCTCCCCAATCTGCAGATCCAATCCATCCTGCGGGGATCGTCGGCTTGCAACGGGGTTTAACTGATCTCTCCACGAACTCCACGAAAAGGTAAGTTTTAAAGCAAGCCAAAGATCCACGCAAGATGGATCGGATCTGTGGACTGGGGAGCATAATGGATCAATCTGCAGATATGATCCATCCTGCGGGGGTCGTCAGCTTGCTTTAAAACTTACCTTTTTGTGGAGCGGGTCCGGTGTCACCCCGTGCAATACGTGTCACCCGGTGTGGCGCACCTGCCTGGGGACATCCCTGATCGATGAATTGACTAAAAATTGACTGGGGAAGTCCCCTATCCTTGTGAAGTTGTGATCAAGCCAGGATTGGTGAAACGCGTTAAAGAAGGGTGGTTTTTGGGTGGAGACACTGTTGTATGCAGTCAATTCATTGATTATTAAATTGGTTCTAAAGGCAGAAGGTTTTTTTTTACCTTAATGCATCCTATGAATTAAGGTAAAAACCTTCTGTGTGCAGCTCCCCCCTCAGCCACCCTTATACTTACCTGAGCTCCATCTCAATCCAACAGCTCTCCCAGGTCCCTCTCTCCTCATTGACTCAAACAGCAGCAGGAGCCATTGGCTCCTGCTGTTGTCAGTCACAGCCAGTGGATTAATGAGGAGAGAGTGGGTGATGGGACTGAGCCATTCTCTGTGTCAATGGACAATGCCCATTCACAGGAGCATGGCTTGAGAATAAGCCTGCACGAGTGTCCCCATAGCAGGGGGGAGGAGCCAAGACCAATGGGGAAGGACCCAAAAAGAAGAGGATCAAGGCTGCTCTAATCAAAACCACTGCACAGAGCAGGTAAGTATGGCATGTTTTTTTCTTTTTTTTTTATACCCATTAGAATCACTTTAAAAAATACTGTAAGAGGAGGTAAGTGGAGTGTAGCTGATGTTGCTTTCTATTTTCAATGGACACTTGAGATGGCCTATAATGGCCAGCACCCAGTTTGTCCAAGTACAAGAGAGGCCAGTCTTGGATCGTGTGTATTTCTTATTTCTCACTTAAAGAGGCTGCAAAGGCAAAGTTTTTTTTATCATAGTGCATTATTTGCACTAAGGTAAAAAACCTTCCATAATCAGTTCCTCTGCAGCCCCCCCCCCTCCCCCTCACAATACACACCTTAGCCCAATCTCGATCCAGCACTGCTCTCTCTCCCCTCACAGGATTCACAAGATGCAGCAGGAGCCATTGGCTCCCTCTGCTGTCAAGCAAATCCTCTGAGGAGGGAGCAAGGGCTAAACTGCACTGTGTATGTCAATAGATGCACACAGCCTGGCTCGGGATTGAGTCTGCACGAGTGACCCCATAGCAAGCTACTTGCTATGGGGGCACTCGAAAGGGAGGATGAGACAGAAGTGCTGGTGGGGGACCCCAGAAGAGGAGGTTCAGGGCTATAACTATTAATACATAGATGGTGACACTGTACTGCTAGGGTGACAGTATGTAAAAAAAATAAATAAATAAAAAATAATATAAAAAAATAAAATAAAAATGTAAAAAAAATGTTTAAAAATTATAATTTTTGGTTATAAACTAATTTGGCTTATTTATTTTTTTTTACTAAAAAGATAACGGAATACATTTTGGCCAGGATTTATGATGAAAATATTATTTATTTGTGAAATTTTATAAGAAAAACACTTTTTTCAAAATTTTTGGACATTTTCATTTACATAGCAAAAAAAAAAAAAAAAAAAATCCCAGCGGTGAATAAATACCACCAAAATAAAGTTTTATCGGTCTCAAAAAAATGGTAAAAAATTCATATGGGTACAGTGTTGCATGACTGCGCAATTGGAAGTGGTTAAAAACAAAGATCAAGTGGAGCCATGGGCACCACATCCAGGGAATTTTTTCTCCAAAACAAGATTTTAGACTGTAGACCAGAGGACTGTGAGCATTGAGGTAGATATATCTGTTTTTAAACACAAATATCAGGATAAGTTTATACTTGCAGTTGGAGGCAACAAAAACTCTCAGTTAAGCAGTGTTTTTACCATCCCCCAACCACCCCCTACCCCCCTTAAGCTTCAAAGGCACTCAGATGGGGTTGTACTTGCTGCAGTGGCAATGCTTGCTTCACGTTGTGGCAAGAATTATACCCCTGTTGCATTCAGCAGGCAGTACGCCTGCCTGCCGAATGTGTCCTGTTCAAGGTTGACTTAGTTACCAATGTATTTCATGCATTTATAAAGCACTGAGATATCATGTAGCATAAGAGTACATAAAACCTTTCACATCAGTCCCTCCTCTAGGCAGGTTACAATCTTATGTCCCTAATATAGTCATAGAAAACAAATTATCTACAGCCTGTATTTACATGGCAGCAACATATCATTCAGAGTTTTACAAAGTACAGTACATCAGTCTCTTTCCTCCACAAAATGCATTGTCTAATGTCCCTACAACACGCCTATAAATATTAGAGCACATTTTTGGGAGGCAGCCAACTAGTCTCCCCATGTTTTTGTACTGTGGAAGCAAAGTTTTCCAGGTGGGATTTAAGGCTAGGTCTTTTTTAGGGACAGTTTGGTCAGAAGTAAATGAACCTACTTATATGTTTTAAGGTTGTAGGAGGAAACCTTGGCACCTGAAAGAAAACAAACTAAAAAATGGGAGCAACCTCACTCTTTGTGCAATTCGCTGGAACAAAAAAGCCCAAAAGCCTGGTGTTGCAAAACGGTTTTGCTAATCATTTACCCAAGATGCTGCTTAACCACCTTCCACCCGCCCTATAGTACAATGACGGGCGCAAGGTGGTTCTCTTGTTCTGATATGACGTCCTACCATTCTCACTGCGCATGCGCGGCTCAGAGAGAGCGCAGCGCGGCGATTGCTGGTGCGCTGTGTCCTCGGACACAGCGGATCACGGAAAGAGCCAAAGATGTTGGCTCGGTCATGTGATCAGCTGTGTCCAATCACAGCTGACCACATGTAAACACGGAAATGCCGGTTATCGGCATTTCTCTCCTCTCGAGCTGTCACACTGACAGCTTGAGAGGAGAGGAGAGGAGAGCCGGTAATCGGCTTTCCGTGGAAAGGAAATGTACACTGATCATCAGGGCCTGATGATCAGTGTTCCCTGATGATCAGTGTGGCTCCAGAAGTGCCACCTGTCAGTGCTCATCAGTGCCATGTGCCAGTGCCCATCAGTGCCACGTGCCAGTGCCCATCAGTGCCACATCAATGCCACACATCAGTGCATACCAGTGCACATCAATGCCACATATCAGTGCCCATCTGAGCTGCCTTTCAGTGTCACCCATCAGTGCCAGTCTGTGCCACCTATCAATGCCAATCAGTGCCACCTATCAGTGCTGCCAATCAGTGCCACCTATCAGTGCCAGTCAGTGTCGCCTATCAGTGCGCATCAGTGCCAGTCAGTGCCGCCTATCAGTGCCAGTCAGTGCCGCCTAACAGTGCCAGTCAGTGCCGCCTATCAGTGCCAGTCAGTGCTGCCTATCAGTGCCATATATCAGTGTCATGTATCAGTGCTGCCTTTCAGTGCCCATCAGTGATGCCTGTCAATGCCCATCAGTGCAACCTACCAGTGCCTCCTCATCAGTGCTCATCAGTGCAGCCTATCAGTGCCCATCATTGCACCCTCATTAACGCACATCAGCAAAAGAGAAAAATCATTTATTCACAAAATTGTATAACAAAAACTAAGAAAAAACTTTTTTTTTTCAAAATTTTCAGTGGTTTTTGGTTTGTTTAAGAAAAAATAAAAATCCCAGAGGTGATTAAATACCACCAAAAGAAAGCTCTATCTGTCTCAAACAAATGATAAAAATTTCATATGGGTACAGTGTTGCATGACCGCGCAATTGTCATTCAAAGTGTGACAGCGCTGAAAGCTGGAAATTGGCCTGGGCAGGAAGGGGGTATAAGTGTCCTGTAGGCTAGTGGTTAAGGAACTGTACATGGTACAGCTTTGTGAATAACACTTTATGCATGGATCATAAATATATGAGTGCAACATAAAAGGAACTTTTCATGATTAAGCTGTTAACTAATACAATACATAGGTACCTTAACCTTCCTAGTGGTATTACCAAGTGTGACTCGGGGTTAATTTACAGTACCAAAAGTGGCAACCCCGAGCCACACTCGGGATTACACTGTAGTGCTTCTCCTGCAATCCCCCGATCCTTACCTTGGCCTGCGATCCCACGATGTCCTCCCATTGTGTCCCCGACCATGTCCTCCAGCCAATGCTGGCATCCATCTCTCGGGTTTCGTTCCTTGTGAGCGTCGGGACACAGGAGGGTGGAACCAGCATGAGATTCAAAATATGACATACACACAATACGTTGTAATCTGTTAGTATTACATTACTGTATCAAACCATTTCACCTCAGTTTTGTCCCTAGTGCTTTGTCCTGTGCCCTGCCTGCACTTTTACTGTTCTTTCTGCCTGGAAACTTGAGAAAATTCATAGCATCCAAAAAGCGTCCCTTTAGGTCAAAAGTGGTTTTAGACCAGCTAGAAAACAGCGATAGTAAATTAGAATCACTTGCAGAATTGAGTGATAATGATTCATGGGGGAAATTCGTCATCAGACACTGAAAACGAGTGATGTGCAAACTTGGCGCTATATTATAAATGTCAGTGTTTTTGGTTTGTTACATTATTGAATTAAATGTATTATTATTATATTATTATTTTTTAATAATTATTTATTATATTATAATTTGTGATTTCTTGTTTCAAATTTTATCATACCCGGGATGTTTACTAGACTCTTGTTTGGACACATTTAAGTGAGTTATTCCTAAGAATTACAGGCCTACAATATGAAACAACAAATTTCCATGCAAAACAATGTACCGCTTTGACATTCAAAAATATTGATTAGTTAGACCGCCAGGGAGGTTAAGGCTAGGTTCACACTGCTGTGATCTGATTTTGATCCAAGTGTTAGTGTGATTATGTGATGCAACCTGGATGCTACTTCGAGGCTACTTTGAAGTGGTTTGCATAATCTTAGGGCCCAAAATAATGATGGAATCACACTAAAGTAGGTCAGGAACCTTTTCTACAATTGTGTGGGTTTCCTCCGGGTACTCCGGTTTCCTCCTGAACTCCAAAGACATGCTGAAAGGTTAATTGGATCCCATTTAAATTGGTCCTAGTATGTGTATGTATGAATGTAAGTTAGGGACCTTAGATTGTACACCCCTTGAGGCTTAGGGACTGATGTGAATGTACAATATATAAGTAAAGCACTGCGTAAATCGATGGCGCTGTATAAGTACCTGAAATAAATTTTAAAAATAAAATAAAATTACACTGCTGAGTTGCATTGATGTGAACAGACACCTTTAAAACAATGTGATTTCCCTTGTCATGCAATTCTGTGCAAATCATCTGAAAGTTCTAGTGTGAACAGAGCCTAAATTGACACTAGTGAATAATTGTCACAATGGTCAGGATATCAAACTATGCATGCCATTTTTGTGAGGATGGTTCTTTATGAAATTATATAATCACAGATTCAGGGGCGGACTGATAACTCATGGGGCCCCCAGGCAATAGGGGATCATGGGGCCCCTGTGTCCTTGCCCAAACTCAAAAAAACCTATGAAAAAGGTACCAGGGGCATCTCATGGGGCCCCATACTGACCCCGGGCCCTCGGGCAGTACCCGAGTTTCCAAATGGTCAGTCCGCCCCTGCACAGATTAACATCAATCATGTATAATATTTCAAACTAAATAAGTTGTATATATAAAAATGCAAACCACTGTTCCTGCTATTATTAATTTACCAATGTATTATGTCATTATTTAATGTTTAAAACCCCTTCTCTGGGCATGATGGTTGACCCTTAATTAAATTGGTTTTCTTAAACATTTCTTTCTTCCATGTGCTTACATTGACTCCTATCATATCTACATATCTCATTCAAATTGGCCAATCTCATCTCATTGTCTCCTCCATAAAACAAAAAGTATCATAGTGCAGCCAATCCTTTTTTAAGAAGCTCATGTTGGAACACACTCATAGGTAGCAGTGTTCTAGCACTGGGGCAATAGCATATAAACAAACACCACATGAGCACGTGTGCATCAGCATGTGTAACCATGTAATGATGTAACAATACTCAGTATGTATTTCCTTTCCATGGACCTTCTCAAGAGCTGGGTTAGTGCCACTACTTTTCCTCACTTGCATACCCCTTTATCCATAAAAAGGAGAATCCTTTTTATTTATATAAAGAAAAAAATGTGGCTGGGGGGGGGGGGCTCTTAAAGTATATCTAAAAGTCCAAACTTTCTTTCTCATTTTGGAGTATGTAAGGGTTAAAATCCATGTTTTTGTCTTTTTGTCATTCAAGAAAATTGCCTTGACTTCCTATCCTATAAACATAACAAGGAGCAAGAAAAAAAAATTCTCCAAAGTATGGTAAATTCCTTTATAGGCAGTTGACACTGATACAAGTGTCCCCACTGGAAGATTTCTACTTTATTTCAGTTTCAAAATTTTGGATTTTCCCTCAGCTTCAGTCCTAGTGACAGCAGTTAATAGGACAAATATGGAGAATGAAACTCCCTAACAGGGACACAGCATTAAAAGCTGACATGGGTTCTAACCATTCCCTACTAGAACCAAAACCCAAAATGCTTTTTATATATACTTTTAATATACTTCAAAGCTGTTTTGTTAATAAAATGTAATATTCTATTTTGGATAAATTATGTTTTGGGGTAATAGGTACTATATAATAAGAAGATGTGGAGAAAAGAATTGTATAGGAGAAAGTAAATGGATAGGGTAGGATGGATAAGAATGAGCAATTTATTATAGGTCAAAGAAAACGAAGGGTTAATATTAAAGTGTAACTAAACAAAAAAAATTAAAATTAATAATATAGTAGCTTACCTGGTGATCTAGCCAGTCCTGGTCCTAGGGTAACCATGAGCAGCTTTATTTACAGGTGTCATGGGATATTGGCATACTCAGAGGTGGACGTGCACACATGTGTATGTCACTAGTACAGAATCTGAAAGTGCCCAAGGAAAGTGTGTTGGATTAAAGTGGCATTGGAGTTCTAAAGGATGAGTATAATAAAGGGGTTAACATTAATATATAACTAAACCAAAAAAATTAAAATTAATTAAAAAGAAGCTTGCCTGGTGACCCTGCCAGTACTGGTCCTAGGGTGAGCATGAGCAGCTTTGTTCATGGGTGGCATGGGATGTTGGCATCATCAGAGGTGGAGATGCACACGTGTGTATGTCACTAGTACAGAATCCGAAAGTGCCCAAGAAAAGTGTGTTGGATTGAAGTGGCACTGGACTTCTTAAGGATGAGTATAATAAAGGGGTTAACATTAATATATAACTAAACCAAAAAATAAAAACTAATTAAATAGTAGCTTGCCTGGTAATGATGCCAACATCCGATGACACCTGGTGAACAAAGGGGACCATGAGCAGCTTTGTTCACCAAGTGTCATGGGATGTTGGCATCATCAGAGGTGTGTTGGACTGAATTGGCACTAGACTTTTAAAGGATGCATTTAATAAAGGGTCAATATTAAGGTATAACCAAACCAAAATTTAACATTAATAAAATAGTAGCTTACCCCTGCTTGTCCTGACTTTCTTTCAATTCACTGTTTGTTTTACCGGGTGATCCTGTCGATCCTGGTCATAGGGTGACCACGCTCCCTGAGCAGCTTTGTTCATCAGGAGTTGTAGGATGTTGGAGTCATCACAGGCAGATCTCCTAGATTGTAAGCTGGAAAGAGCAGGGCCCTTGACCCCCTCGTGTGTTTTGTTTTGTTACTGTATTGTCTCATGTTCTGTCCCCCACTATAATGTACAGTGCTGAGCAAACCTTTCAGCGCTATATGAATACTGTATATGCCACGTTCCAAATTATAATGCAAATTCTAATTAAGTGTCACAAAGATTAAATATTTTGTTTTTCAGTGTAACTCATGGATGGCATTGTGTGTCAGGGCTCTTTTGATCACAGAAAACAATTTCAGACACCTGTGATAATTAGATTGGCTGGTGAGCCCAATTTAAGGAAAAACTACTAAAGGAGGGTGTTCCACATTATTAAGCAGAGCACCATTTTCAAGCAATATGGGAAAGAAAAAGGATCTCTCTGCTGCCGAAAAGAGTGAAATAGTTCAATGCCTTGGACGAGGTATGAAAATATTAGATATTTCACAAAAACATAAGCGTGATCATCGCACTATTAAGAGATTTGTGGCTGATTCAGAGCACAGACGGGTTCGTGCAGATACAGGCACATTGAGGAAGATTTCTGCCAGATCCATGCATTGGATCAAGAGAGCAGCTG